GCTTTTATTTAAAGTTTTTTTTTTTGTAGTTATTTGTAATAAAAAATTTATATGATGCAAATGAATAAATATGTACTTATTAAAATTTGATTAATCTAAAATACTGAAATTAAGTTACTGTTGTTAATATTAACTATAGCAATCCTATAAATATTATAAGTGAGAACAAATTAGAAATCAAAAGATCAAATTTATCGCTCTATGCTTTTTATGAAATTTTGACACTTTCAATTTAAAAAATTGTTCATATTATATTGCCTTAAAAAAGCGTTCCATGTAATAAGAGCGCTGACAAATTATTTACTGCATTCAACAGCATCAAATAAAATTATTCTTTAAGCAACGAATGCTCCTTCTGTTACTTAGTGGTTTCTAGCGGATTTTGCTTCACAAATAGTCATTTGATGGAATCACTGAATGAATAATTGAATGAAAGAATGAATGAGTGAATGAGTGCAAACGTTACCATTACATAAGATAATTCGTAAGTCTCGAATTCTTTTTCTTATCAAATTAAGACAAGCATGTCAAGTTTAATTTAGAAGTGATTTATTGAAATCAAGCTACACTTGCTATCTTTCTATTCAGAAATTCTTCATACTTTAAAGTTAATAAAGTATTTTTAGCCTCCATTCTTCCTTTAGAAATTGCAACTAGCTGATATTAATTATCTTTCCATATATCCAACTATTCAACCATAATAATTACTTTCTTGCGATAGTACCTCTACTAACATTGCTACTTTTTTTCATATTCTACATAATTGAACTAACGGAAACAAAATACTTTGTTCGCAGCTTACAAAATTGCTCAAGCATTTATTCCATTGTTACATAATTTTTTACCAGAAGTTTAAAATTTATTTTTGATTTTTTTCAATTCCTTCCTAGCACAGAAAAGAAATGAAGCAAATGCTTTATCTCTTTCCAATTAAGGATTTGTAATTGATGAAAAAAAAGAAAAAAAAATTGTTTTTATAAAATCACTGAAAAACATTAACAAGTTTAAAATTTTGCTGAAAAATGTTATAGGCAACACTAATCAGAATATAAAATTATTGAAATTTTTGAAAAACTATGATAGAAAAAGTATGAAAATGCAAACTTATATCGTTAATACACACAGCTTGAAATTTTACATGATTAGCTAAAAAATGCTGTGGACTAAAGACTTCTTTTATTGCAAAAAAATGATGTTTCTTTTCGTATGCAAAAAAGTTTTTCTTACTACAAAATTACAGAATTGAATCTTATCTTTAATTTTGAATTTGCTACGAAATAATAAGGATTTAGCACTTAATTCAGAATAGAGACCCATGAGACTTCAAATCGTGCTTGAACAATGCAAATAAATACCAAAGTGAAGATTTAAAGTGATGTCACTTTAAAATGCTCCAACTTTAATTACTAAAGAAGAATTTTAAAAAATCATTTTTAAAATATATATATATATATATCCCATTTGCTACAATTGTTTCGAATATATTTATTTTACTATAATAATTTATGATTTATGCCAACATGCCTGAATTAGTTAAAAAGTATTTTAAATTAAATTCCTAAATTGGTTATGATTATTATTCATCTTATTATGTCAAGAAATAATTTACAAAATTCTTAAATTCAAAATATTTTTTCGCATAAAATTTGCAGATGTCTTATTTGTTGCACTACACTTAAAAAGTATTGTTCGTTTATATTTTGTTGATATTCTCTTTTCATTATGTCACACTTTTTTTTAATACGGCGATAAAAAGTACTAAAATCATCCATTTAACCAAATCTTCATTATAATAGACAAACTTTGTATTTTTATGCTTAACTCTAATTGCAGGAAGTTGCTGTCATCTGCATAGTAGTTAACAGCCTTTATAGACTCAACTTTCAAATTCATTTCTTAAGCTAATATAAATTTGGTAGTTTTTTGGGAATTCTAAACAATACTCTGCAATCGAACTCTTAAAAGTGAAATAATTTCAGCATTTATCGAATAAAACACATTTATTTTATTCTGCAATTTCAACAGTAATCAAAAAAGTGCTCCTTTTTCATAATTTGAAATTATGTGATTTACTATCATTTCGATTAATATTACAGTTAAAAAGTAAAATTATCTTTAAATGTGAAATAGGTTACTAAATACAACTCAAATCTTCTTTTCGTAAATCTTTTTTCAATCATTTCAACTATGAGCAATGTACATAATTGCGATTCATTTGCACATCTAATATTTTCATACAAAGTACTGAAAATTAAAAATACAATTTTATTTACAGTATGAATGAGCAATATGCAGTTTTGCGCAGTTAATCTTACTGAAGCACTGCATAAAAGTCTTTGCAAATAAATTCACAATACAATAAAACTTCGACAACTCTGAAAATAATTTTTAATTTTATTGATTTGAAAAATAGTTAACCAAATTTGTAGTATATTTTAAAATATAGGTTTTTTGTTATCACTTTTTCTTTCCGTAAATATTTAAAAAAATTGCTTGGAATGCTAGTTTTGTTCATTATAAATGGAAAAGATAAACACTATATTTTAGCAATTTTACTTGTAAAAACATATATAAAGCATTATTACAGACATTATTCTTGCTATGAGAAATATAAAATAAACTATTAAATATTGTTAATTGCATTTATAAATATTTTTTTAGATAGAAAATTTTAAAATATTCAGTAATTTTTTGGAAATTGGAGCTAAAAGATGACTTTGTTTATTGTAATAAGACATAAATATCTTTTTCTTGATTTTAGCAAGCGATTAGATAATGGCTAAAATGGTTATAAATTTTATTTAAAAGGTACAAAGAAATATATAGTCTTGCTTTGCTTTCCAAAAGCAATCATTTTTAGTAGTCAAGAATTCACTCTACTTAACTGGTATAAGTCCAGCTTTTTTTTTTCAGATCACAAAAAGTATCATCGTATTTTACAGGGATTGCGATAACAAGTGTGCTTTTCAAAGCAAACTGCACCAAACCAATAGAATTAGATCTAAGCGTTACTGAAATATTATCGTAATAGTAAGCATAAAATTAAAACTGAAATTAAATGAATAATAATTTAAAATGAATAATAATTTTTTTTTTGATTTTGTTAGTTAAAATAATGCTTTCAATATAATACTAAAATTTTTTTAAAGATCAAAAATATTTGTTATTTTTCTAGCCGTTTTCCAAATATGGTCATTGAGAAATCAACATGTTAGAATTACAATTAAAGTAGAAAGAAGGGAAAAAATCTTTTTTATTTTTTACATTATCACAAACTTTTAACACTGAGTATAAGTTTTAATGATGTAATTGCATGATAAACAAGTTAAAATGATTAAAATAGCTTCTGTAAAAAGCAATAAAATTCAAAATTTATTTTTATTTGTGAAAAATTTCATTGTTAATCATATTGCAACCACCTGGAATTACTATAGATAAAATTAAGTGCTAATGGAATAAAATTAAAGCAATTTAGAGCACACTTTTCAAGTGCTAATTTTGTGATCAAAATTATTAATTACTATTTTTCACTATTTATAATGGATTAAAATAAATTTAATTAATTTGTAAGTATGATATAAAAAAATAATCTTGAAGTAAATTAATTAAAAATTAGTGAAATAGCTTCATATAGTTTCTTCCGTTTATCAGTTATTCACATTCATAAACTGCTGATATATGATATTAAAAAAACAGAAAGTATTTCAATTTACCAAAAAAAAAGCAAGTAATGTTAATAAATTAATATTGATGTAAAAATAATACAGAGTTAACAAAGTTATAATTAAGTTTCGTATCAAAAAAAGAATGCATATAATTTGAATTTGAAATTTGTAAATTTTGTATTCAAGAAGTGATTAATTTTAATTAAATAATCAAAAAATTGTATGAGTTTTTGCTAAATTATTAATAAACTTATTCACATATCAGTCGCATTGTCACTATTAATGTTGCTTCTGACCTTCAACAAAAAACGTATCTTGTCATTTTCTAACAATTTTTTGTTCTAGTTTTTTCTACATTCTTCAGGATATTCATTTTAGTACCATTAAGTGAATGTTTTCCATGAATTTTCTTTGATTCATTTTTCCCTTCAGACTTTGAGCAATCCCTTCAAACTTTGAGCAAAAACCTGATCAAAATTGTTGATTTCTTTTCATTTCCTGTAATTTTTTTTTCAAAACACAAATTATATAAATGTAGTATAAATGATACATTACTTTTCTAGAGCTTTTTTTTAAATGCTAAATTTACGTTAAGCAAACAAACAATATGATTGAATTAATATAACATATTTTTTAAGCAATTTTGCGCTATGACATTATTATAAAAACTGAAATGAAAGGGAAATTGCTTACTTAAAAGGAAACCGAACTGATTAACAGCTTATGAGGAAAATGATCGTGAATTAAGTTTTAGTGTTGTCAGAATCATATTGCATATTTCTTTATTGCAAGACATGTAAACAAGTAGACGAGTTGCGCATGTTAGCACATATAATACCGAAATTACGTCAGTACATGTTTCATAAATCTAAAATAATCATTATAATTCAGCATCATTTGAAAACTACTAAAATTGTCTGCAAAATTATTGAAGTGTTATATGCCATGTCGTAGATAGAAGTAAAGTATGATCTCGTTAAAGGATAGAAAAAAAATAAAAAGAAAAAATTTTGGAGCAACAAATTTTTGTACAAGTATACCTAAATTGTTAAACAATTTTCAATCTAAATCCTAAATTACTTATAAAATAAATTTAATATGATCTTTATATAACTTAATAAAATATGCAAGTGTCAATAAATAAAAAAGCGTGAAGCATTATCAAACCCAAAATGCTTCTTCAGTTTGAGCGGATTCAAAGTCGATGTACTCCCAAGCAGTAATTAAAACATTAAGTACATTGGCCATAAGATATGAACATACTACAAAAACAGCTAATCTTGTAGCTGATCGAACTTTACACTGAAATATTTCAAAAAATGTAGCTTTTAGCAAAATATTTTATGCTTGATTTACGAAGAAAATCTTGAATAAAACCTTAACTTTTTTGATTGGGCAATCGATTTGATGGAAACAAGTTACCAAAACAAAGAAATAACATTAATCATTTTTATTAGATCAGTTGAAAATGCTTTTTGACATTAATTTTTTAAACGTGCTTATAAAAAATTATCTTTTAAAAGGCTAATTTTTAATATCTTGTTGCTTTTGTTTGAAAAAATTTCTTTTATGTAAATGAATCAGATATGATAATGTGAATCAAGAAAATTCAAGAACGTTCGACATGAGTACATAAATTTTATCTCTGACATCCCATTGAATTACAATTTATAGATATGTAAAGCAAAAATAGTTCAAAATAATTTTTTACTTTATGCTCGTTTGATTGAAATTTGAAAAATGATGCTGTTCGTTGTTGTTCGCGTAAAGTTAAAACGATTCGAATATTTAAGTATGCAAGTAGGAAGAATGGTATAAAAACGGTAACAATATTACGAAAATAAAACCGAAATACAGTGCCATAAAACCAAGTTGTCACTAACGGTGTTAGTGTTGGCTCGTATTCAGCCAAACCAGTACAATTTTTTTTATGAATTATCTACAATAATTTTTTTAAATAACTTTTTCATTTTAAAAAAATTTCTCAGTTTATTTGTAGAAAAGAAATTTTTTAATGTTTTAAAAGAAATTTAAATTAAGAAAAAAGAAAAAAAAATTGAATATTTTAACCTCAATTTCAAATACAGCGCTTCCTCGTACTACTAATGCAAAAAGAAACATTGCACAAGCAGCAATACAACGATTATTTCGGAATTTATGAAGCAAATTAGATTGCTTTGTGATGAGGTACCTCTCGATTGTATTCAAAATTATCAAAAAGCAAGAAAATGTCATTGAAACATGACAAAGAGCTAAAAGTGGTCCAACATATGACCACCACATCCAATTCAACCATAACCACTAAAATTACAATTACAGTTCATCTTCATAATCCCTCTATAATTAATTTTGGATCATTTTTTTTTGTATCAAAAAATATTTAAATCAAAAAAAAGTATAAAAATTTTATTCATATTTCTTTTTTCGCACTAACTTTTTATCTACCTTTGCTTTTAATGCATGCACTATTTTCAAGCAAAAATTTGCAAAATTTCCAAACAATATTCAAAGATTTATTTTTAGAAAATAAGAGAAGCACATTTATTTTAAACTAAAGTATACTTGTCGAAAGTTCCAAAACCAAACTGGGTGCAATTTTAAACGAAAAACAAATTTGTTTTCATAAAAAGTAACTCAGAATTGATGGACAAATATAAAAATCAAAGTAGATAAAATAATTGAAATTTTTCAAATTTGAAAAGCTAAATGATACAAGATTATGTTGTTTTATGTTACTTTTATTAAGCAAACCAGGGAATAACAAAACTTACCAGATTATTGCGATACTAGCAGCAATCTTAAGCGCATGAAAATATAAGTCATATCTCTGCTTTTGAATTCTTACATCGAATAATAGTAATTATTATTTTTATCAATAGTAATGTAATAAAAAACACTTTGTATATCATTATGGTAATCAATGATTACCTGAACTCTATTCTTGATAATATCCATAGCAATGACAGGACCATAACAAAATGATAAAAAGCTATCACTGAATGCTAAAAGTCCAAGAAAAAAGAAAGGGCTTTGTTTTCGGGGTAGAACAGCTCTTGCAATGAGGAGATTTGAGAACAGACTAATTACACTTAGTGGAGTACCAACAATAGCCACTAAGTACCAACGACGATCAGAATTTTCTGGTATTTCACATTCGGGAACAGAGTAATCATCATAGTCTGCTTGCTCCATAGTTAATTAAAACTGAAATATTATTGTAAACTTTGATGCATTTTTGATGATCTTAAAAATTCTTTAATTTTATAATATTTAAAATTAATTACTTTACAGAAAAAGAGCAATTACTAATTATCACAACAATCAAATACTTGGGCTATTTCATTTTAAATATAAGCATACTGTACTGTTAAAATAATGATGAATGCAAATGAACTTTTTTCAGTTTTTTACTTAAAAGGAAATTTAATGCAGGAAGTGTTATGATTACGTATTATTTTTTTTTAGCGTGTTTGATTTTTACTTGTACTTTGTTCGTAAGATTGACTTTTTTAAAAGAAAATATACTTTTATAATTTACTCAAATTATTTTCTTTTGACTACAGAAAATTGGAATTAACGAATCCAGATGCAAAAAAAAAAGAACGGAAAATTGATTATGTCCACAAAGATGGATGAAATATTTACATCCACGAAATACAAAGTGCAAAATCAAATATGTATGGAGATAAAATTGTTAAAATTGAAATATGATAAATTTATAAAGATATTATCAGTGCATAAGTATTCAACAAATAAAATAAAATTTAAATAAAAATAATAAATCGTAAAAATTCAAGTATTTATTCTAAAAAATATGTATAAGTAATATTTTCGAGTAGTATTCAACAATCTAATCAAAATATTTTTATCAGAAAAGTAAAAGCCTTAAACTAAAATTGAAAACAGTGTTAGGATTTTTTGCAGTGTAGCATACTTCTTTATACTTTTAGCCAGTACTCATTTTTACACTGCAACTTTTAAAGAAGTTATTAGAGAACTCTCATTGAAATGTATAGTAATAATTAATTTTAAGTTACGAATTAATAAGTTAGCATTTTTGTCAATTAAAATACCGTATATTTTATTGAATCAAATAATACTTTTCAGTAAAAGATAATCGATAACAATAATAAATAGTCTAATAGTAGTATTATGGTTAATCTCTGATGTTCAGCTCTAGCAAAAAAGGAGTTGTTTTAAGCATTAACAAATGATATGAAAAAAAACGATCACAAATTTTTGGGTGAAACAATATACGCTTATTTTAACAAAAAATTAAACAATACTTTTTTACATCTAAATGGAAAGTTCGATTCTGATGCTACTTTATTTCATAGTTTATAATATATCAGTGCTAAAGAAATTGCACAATTAAACGCACGAAGAGGAAGTCATTAATAAAAATTTGACTAATTTTAGTGAGATTTCAAGACTTATATGAATAAAGTTAAAGAGATAAGTTTTCGTCATTTTGTAGAAAAAATGCTTTGTTTTAAGTGATACAAGTTTAAGAAATGAATTTTTCTGAGTTCACTTAAATATTTAATCAGACTAAATATTTTTTCCAAACAGCAAATACTTTTACTAGTTCTTATTTAATTATGTTAATTTTTTGATGCCCTGCTGGCTTTCACATTATAAAAATTTATTAAATCTTAATTTTTCTTTTTTAAATTAAGGCACTGACCTCTGAAATGCTAGAATCATCATTTAACAAAGCTTAAAAGTATGAAAGCAAAATTATAAATAGAACCTTGCGCTTCTTGTTCTTGCAACACTTAAATCTTTTAACTTCTTTAGTTATTCGATTATTCAGTACACCATACATAATTTGTAATTTATAGTCAACAATATCATAAAGAAATTAATTAATTGAATGAATAAGAGTAAAAAGATTACTTTCTTTTTTTTGTAAAAAATGAAAGTCTCAGCATGTACTTACCATACACATGAATAATGGAAACAATTGATAGAAGCCCTTAAACAGAATGACTAGAATTCTGTTTCTCTTCAAAAAATCCTCCGTAAATTACGAATGATTTTTTGTACAATAAGTTAACTGATTCGTTTTTACTGTTATCACTGAAATAATATTTGATTAATTGCTAAGATTAACAAGATTGAAAGCATATTGTAGCATACTGTTGCAGTAATTGCACTCAAACCTGAATTTAACAATAGCAAATAGTAAATATAGTTTGAGCTATAAATAAAATAAAGCAAATTAACTAACTGAATAAATAGAACAGTGAAAAAAAAATTAATGAAATAAGCAAAAAAATGAAAAACTAAAAAATTTTAAAAGTAATTAATTTAAGAAGAATTTTGCATGCACACTCGTTTACTTGCATTTACCTTTATTTCTTTTAATATTAACTTGAGTCGTTTAAAAAAAAAACTTTGTAAGCAAGTTAAAAAATAACTTATCGAGTTAAGACAAATATGGAAAAAATGTTGTTACTTTTCACTATTAAATTTAAAATATTTCATAGAGTTTAAAGGTTAGTTTGTATCACACTATTATCCCATTATTCTACTTTTTTAGATCATTTTTTGTTTTAACTTGCTTTTAACTCAATTTTCGCTCCTTACTGAAATAATAACAATACTAATAAAAGCAAGAATAACAATAACAACACTACTATAATGATGCAATGACAGTAATAATAATAGGAAAGCATAGCATCACTTTAATTAATAGAGAAGCCTTTAAAGAGGTGCTGGCATAAAAGAACGGATTCTGTAGAAGAAATGTTCAGGCAGCTGCATTCAAATGATAGATGATAATGAAGCAAGTTGAATGCCGTTTAGAAAACAAAATAATTTCAATTGAGCAAATGGAATCATCCAATTTGCAGAAACACAAGTTAAACAGAGTTGAAACTTTAAATATATGTCCAGCCGACAGTGCTTAAATAGACGCTTGAAAGCACTTCCTTCAATAATCACAGCAGTGGACTTGATGAAGATGAAACAGCGCAGACCAGCACATCAAAACTAAATGTAGGGCGTGTTCAACGAGAGTGCCTGAACACGATTCAGCGCCAGTATCATTGGAGAAAAAAGATTAATTAACATCCATGTGATTAGTTATTATATATATATATAT